TCAGAGCCTGGAACCTGCTTCAGATTCTTGTGTGTGTCTCTCTCTCTGACCCCCCACTGCTCATGCTGCCTCTCTCTCTCTCTCTCTCTCTCTCAGAAATAAATAAAACATTAAAAAAACTTTTTAAAAAAGAATCAGACGCTTAACTGACTGAGTCACCCAGGCACTACTGTTCCCCAATAACATTTTTCATTTTGGACATCAGTTATACCATATATACCTTTTCTTTCACCATAGTGAGACAACTTAGGTTAATCTTCCCTCCAGACTGCACAGTTCTTCAAATTGCATTCAACAAAACATTATGTAGTTTTGTTTTGCTTTGTTTTGTTTTTAAGGCATTGTAACAGCAATGAGGACTCAGAAAAGTGTAAGCTGCTGCTCTGGCTCTGGATTTTTCTAGCAGGAAAAGATGATACAGAAACGGTCACTGCACTAAGAGGCGGGAAGCAGGCATGTCTTGTTGACATTTGTTTCCTCCAGGATCCTAGAGCTAGAATGAATGGCATCCTAGAGCTAGAAGAGCCTAAAAGATCATGCAATCTAAACTTCTTTTGTCCTAGCATAGAGAACTGAGACTCTGGAAGTCAGGGGCTTGCCCAAGGTCACCAGGCAGGTGACGGTAGTGCTGACCCAGGCCGTGGGCCAGGCACACTCTGCCACAGCCCACCGCGGCTCCAGCTCCTTTGCACCCTCAGGGTGGCATGCTGTGGGGTGTCACAGAAATTCAATTAGTCAGAGTTACAAACCATAGGGAACATTCTAGAAGAAATACAGTATAATCAATGGATATGTCTGATCTGAGTGGCAAAAAAATCAAGAATGATCTTAAAGGACATGTAAATGTTTCTCCTTTTGTGAATGTACTGTTTCCACAAAACTCTGCTCACCACATTGCTTCTACTTAACTTTTGTGTAATTTGTTCTTTTTAAGACTCAAATTGTCTAATGGTTAATTAAACATAAGCATTCATCCACAGGTAAAGGGAAGAGAGATTGAACATTTTTTTAATTAAAAGTTTTTATAGTTTATTTATTTTTGAGACAGAGAGAGACAGAGCATAAGCAGGGGAGGGGCAGAGAGAGAGGGAGACACAGAATCTGAAACAGGCTCCAGACTCTGAGCTGTCAGCACAGAACCCGACACAGGGTTCGAACCCATGAACCGTGAGATCATGACTTGAGCCAAAGTCGGATGCTTAGCTGGCTGAGCCACCCAGACGCCCCTTACATTTTAAAGGTCTCATTCCTGGGGCACCTGGGTGGCTCAGTCAGTTAAGCATCGACTTCGGCTCAGGTTATGATCTCACGGTTTGTGAGTTCGAGCCCCACATAGGGCTCTGTGTGACAGCTCAGAGCCTAGAGCCCACTTTGGATTCTGTGTCTCTTTCTCTCTCTGCTCCTCCTCTGCTCATGCTCTGTCTCCATCTCTCCTTCAAAAATAAATGAACATTAAAAAAAAATTAAAGGTCTCATGCCTGGTTTTGTATTCCTCCTATAAGTTATCAGGAAGGTTCCAGAAAAACAGCCTGATATTTTTTTTCTCTAAAAAATATTATATGATTGAGATGGAATTTTATTGCTTTTTGTTTTCTTTTGTATTTTTCAAAATGCTTCTCAAAGTCATTGCCTTATTCTCAGTAGGGCTTCAAACAAAACCACCTTAAAAGTCTCTTGAGGCATTTTTATCCACAGTAAAGTTCTCTTTTAAAACTGCCTTTGGGACACCTGGGTGGCTTAGTCGGTTAAGCCACCTACGTCAGCTCAGGTCATGATCTCGTGGTTCGTGGGTTCAAGCCCCGCATCGAGTTCTGTGCTGACCGCTCAGAGCCTGGAGCCTGCTTCAGATTCTGTCTCCCTCTCTCTCTGACCCTCCCCTGCTTGTACTCTGTCACCCTCTCTCTCAAAAATAAACATTAAAAAAAACCCTGCCTTTGTCCTTTTCTTTATCAATCACTCATCTCAGTAAGGTATATTATATTTATTCACACATTTTACACATTTATTTTAGAGACGTGAATGAAGCAGTCTTTATTTCATTTTCCCACATCTAAAAGCAACCATAGTATACAGATTAAACAAAACATATTCTTTTATTATCATTATCCCTACTGTAGAAAATAGAATGTCAAGGTGCTGATCATGGCTAGATCAGAATAAAGGAATGGAGAGTGTTATTACCACTCATCGAAGACCCCTAAAAAGTTTCTAAAGGTTATCAATGACTTGGTTAATTAGCTGCTCCTCCAGCAAGCCAGAAAGTTTTCCTTTTTTTCCCCCCAGTAGTAAATATATCTCACTTGGGTTTGCTTCGCTGAAACCTCTATATGGCATAAGGACCTGCCTGGAGACCAAAATGGACATATTACAGGTGTTTGAGAGGCTGTAACTAAGTAACAGGTAAGGGCAGGTTTACATCGTGATCCTTCAAACTAAAAGACTCCATGCAAATCTTAAGAAAAAGTAAAGATTTGTTGTGAATCACTGCATTTATCTGTGCAGCCAGAAACACAGAAACCATTATAACTCACTGTTATAAATATTAGTAATTATATGTTTTAACATAGATTCAGCTTCCACAGGTCAAGTCATGTCCTCCAGAACCTTACAATAGAAGGTAAAATCCCAATACAATGTGCTTACTCTGTCTTCTTTCTGACACACGGAAGAAATCACACTAATTCCACCTAGAGATCATTAAAAAAAGTTTTTTAATGTTTATTAATTTTTAAGAGAGAGAAAGACTTGAGCAGAGAGAGAGGGAGACACAGAATCCGAAGCAGGCTCCAGGCTCTGAGCTGTTAGCACAGAGCCCAACACAGGGCTCAAACTCGTGAACCTTGAGGTCATGACCTGAGCTGACGTTGGTCACTTAACTGACTGAGCCAGCACCTAGAGATCATTTTTATCAGGCTTTACTCTCCACAGAACTGAGTAATAGTATTTTCTCCAAAAGATGATACACTACTAACTTACCACTGGATAGTACCTTGCAGACTACCAAGGTCTTTCATCTATACTTCTCCTGTGAAACAGTACAGAGGAGGAAGCTGAGTTGCTGTCAGGCTAAGAAATGTTTGCTCTGTCACCCAGCTAGTAAATGAGGGAGCAAGGGAAGGTATAGAAAGGGACACAGCAAGCCTGGGGTTTAGGGTCACACTCAGCATTGAATCACAGCTCAACTAATCATGGCAACACAAACGTGGGCAAGGCCTCATTAAAAAAAAAAAAGTTTATTTATTTATATATTTTGAGAGAGAGAGAGAGAGAGCACGTGCACACACAAGGCGGGGGAAGGAGCAGGGAGAGAAAGGGAGAGAGAGAATCCCAAGCAGTCTCTATGCTGTCAGCACGGAGCTCAACTTGGGACTCCAATCTCAGGACCCATGAGATCATGCCCTAAGGCGAAATCAGGAGTCTGACGTTTAACTGACTGAGTTACCCAGGCGCCTCTCATTATTTCTAACCACAAAATATGTGTAATATCCACCTCACAGATTTATGAGACTTTAAAGGGCAACATGTAAAAAGCACACAAAAAAGCTCCTGGCACATAAAAGATGTTCCTTGAACATTAACTCCCCTCAGTTGATACATCTGTAAAAAGGAGGCACTAAAACCTATCTCATGAGGCCAGTGTGGGGGGTGACATCATACCCAGTTTTCCCTCCCTTGGGTGTCGGGGCCCCACTCCCCACCGCCATACAGGACTGCCTCTGTGGAAAGGTCAACCCAGGATATCAGAAAACAGTGTTAGAGGGCCGCCTGGGTGGTTCAGTCAGTTAAGCCTCCAACTCTTGGTTTCAGCTCAGGTCATGATCTACCAGTTCAGGAGTTTGAGCCTTGTATCTGGGCTTTGAGCTGTCAGCACAGAGCCCCTTCTGATCCTCTGTCTGCCTCTCTCCCTGCCTCTACCCCTCCCCTGCTCGTTCTGTCTCTCTCAAAATAAATAAACTTAAAAAAAAAAAAAACAGCTTTAGAGAGAGGAAGTTTACCTTCGTAGGTTAACAAGCACTTGACATAGCTACTGAATTCATAATAGTTTCTAAGACAAAAATGACCAGAATTAAATGTTTTTCAAAGACTTTTGAGAACAAAGCCAAAGTCACTAGGTAATTTCAGTACATCTAGAAGCCCTCATGGGGATGAAAGTTTGAGAACATACCAACTTCAAGCCGTCCTGTTTCACCATCTATGCATTTCCTTTTTTTTTTTTTTTTTTTTTGTTAAGTCAGGGGTCTCACTTTAATTTAACCAAAGGTTAGGTGGAGTGAGAAGGGGGGGGGGGGAAGGAAAATGAAAAACCAGTGGATAAAAGCAACTGAGAGGAAAATAAGTTTTCATACAAATCTGAGTTCTGGCACACTAACATGTTATTATTTCCTAAATGCTACGAAGTTTCCAAATGGCCACTCTTTGACAAAACCGGAAGTATCAAATCCAGCACGTGGTCCACAGCGTGCGCGGGTCTGGCCGCAGGCTCTGGCGCACGCGTGTGCTCCAGTGCCAGCTTGGAGTCTCCTTCACCCAAAGTGGCGCTGTCACTTAAATTCTAAATACAACTCCCCAAGGAAGGGATGCAGGAAAACCTCTCGTCTTAAGATCTGTCTTTTATTTATTCATTTTTGGAAAGTTCTTCTTTGGTGAAGGTTGGCTTGAATTCAATAGTTATGTACATAACGTACCCATAGCGCCGACTGGGAAATTCCAATCGCCCTCTTTAGAGTGAGGCGCTCAGGATCCAGTACAGCGGGCATTTGAGAAGTACCGTAGGAGTTTCCTTAATAAGCACCTTAGAGTTTGCAGGCACGTAAGCAATTAGGGGCTGAGTCAGGGGGTGCGCAGCCAGAAGGTCAGAATACATTTCCGCCCCACTAAAACACTCCTTTCTTTTCCCTAAAGTTTAGGCCTGGAGGCGGGGGGAAAGAACACCCCAAAAAAACCCCAGATCAATAATGCAAGCCCCCCTGGGAGGGACTCCGGGGAGGCGCGCGCGCGCGCTAGCGGCCCGCCTCGTCGGGCTCGCTGCAGGGCGAAGGCGCGGACGAGGCCTCGGACTCGCCGTCGCTGTTGCACTCGGCGGCGCGCGGGGGGCGGGGGCCGGCGGGGCCCCCCTGCCCGCGGGCGTGGCGCTCCAGCAGCTGCTGCAGATGCCGGATGTAGCCGATGGCGGCGCGGAGCGTCTGCACCTTGCTGAGCCGCCGCTCGGCCAGCTCGCGGGGCAGGTGGTCGCGCAGGCGCGCGTACCCCTCGTTGACGCAGCGCACCCGCTGCCGCTCGCGCTCGTTGCGCCTGCGGAGGAAGGCGGGCCCGAAGGCGCAGTCCCGGGGCGCCCGCTGCCGGCACGCGGCGTCCCTGAAGGGCTCCCCCGAGGGGAGGCGGGGCGGGGTCCCCGGCAGGTCCGGGGGCTCCGTGCGGAGGTGGCACCACCGCAGAGGCAGCAGTCCGGCCGGCTTACGTTTCTCCATCCCTCGCCGGAAAGCCAACAAATCACGCAAGAGACTGATCTCTTAGAAGGCGAGACTTCAGATCTTCAAAGCGTAGACGCCGGTCCCTTCAGACAGCCTGGCACGGCCGGGCTGTCTTTTAATTTCTGGTTCCAGGACAGGCTTCACGGAAACTTTGCAGGATTTCCTGAATTCATGGCACTACTCGATCGTTTTTATAAAGATCCAGACGGAGGTGATAAGCAAAGATTTAGGACCTCCTAATCCGCACTTCAAACCCTGTCTTCCCCTCTGATCTTCTTCTTTCAGAAGATGACAAAAGAGGTCCCTCTGCTCGGGCCCCTAGCCTGGAAATGTGAGCGCACACCAAACGGAGTAATCTCTCAGAATCGCCCAAGCTTTGCAATTACCGTAATCCACCGCTCTGGGTCTTCACGAGCATAGGAATCTTCCAGGTTTGAAAAGAGCCCCTCCCAGGAACCAACAGACTTGGCGGCTGAGCGAAAGTTTACCAAAAGCTTTCTCCTTGGAAATCAAAACTTGACTGTCCTTTGTGGTTTCCGGCTTTCAGGGCTAATGGAAAGAGCTTTCAGACGGTGTGCAAACTTACACTTGCTCTTCCATTTCTGTGGAGGTGGAGGGAAGACCTCATCAAAGGAATGACTGCTCCCTTGTGGTTATAAGATCTGTCAAGTAAAGGAAAGGAGGACCTCCGGGGAGGTTTGAGGGTTTTCTTCTCCAAAACCGAATCTTTTAAAAACCCAGTTAGACATGTTTTGAAGAGAAGAGGAAAGGAATATACCTTAGCAACGAACAGAAGGGTCCCAATGTTATGCTCCCGCTTATGTTGAACGCAGGAGGCTTTATGGATTTGTGCTACTTTTTAAGAGCACATCAAAAGGTTGAACAGTAACAAACACTTTCAGCCAGTTATTTCTCACAGTGCTTACTGTAAACACAGGTTAAACACTGCTTCCCCACCTCTTCTAATCCCACCCAGGATAGAAGAGCATTTTTCCATAGTGCAAAGAGTGTATTTCTATTGTGTTCTTCTTTTTGTCTTAAAAAAACAAAGATGCAATTTATTTTCTCCCTTGGGGTCAGAAAAGCAACATTTGAAAGGTGGAGAGCCCCAATTCCAAGGATCAAGGGTGATAGCTTTGAAGACTTGTCTTTTTAACACACAACCAAAAAAAAAAAAACAAACAAAAAAAAAAACAATAATTAAACCATCCAAAGTGAAGGGCTTTGAAGATGAAAGTGTCATTAAAAATCCAGCGGTGGTTAATGTCAAAAAATGTGTTATCACGCTGAAAATCAGATTTCTTGTTCTGCAAACCAGCACATTAAAGGCAGCTTCTACTTTTAAAAGTCCAACTTAAAAACAAGAGAATCAAAAACCCCCTACGTTTACGATCAGACTTTTTGCCTGTTCCTCAGGAGCCGGGGTGTCGCCCTAACATGTTTTTTTGGCAAGTGCTGGGCTTACCTGTTTACCCTAAATGATCTGCCTCCAGCAACTGCAAAAACACCTCCATCAAGGCAAATAAAATAGAAATAATGATTCCTTTTAGGCATTAGTTAGTCACATTTTAAAAACTCCCTGGGGGGGCTTGTGCCAGCAAACACCCTAATATGTCACCTTGATTTCTCAGTAGAGTTGAGAACAACCCATAGCAAAGTCCTTCCTGTTGGGAGACAAGCCCACCATAGAGGTAGAAAGACAATGAGACCACAAGGTGCTTTGGGCCATTAAGGATTTTGGCCTTTGTTCTAAGAGTGGAAGGGAAGTAAATGATGTATTTTAAGCAGAAAGTTGACATGGTAAGTTTTTGATTTTAAAAAACATTACTCTAGGGGTGCCTGGGTGGCCCAGTCGGTTGAGCATCTGACTTCGGCTCAGGTCGTGATCTTACTACTCATGAGTTCAAGCTTCGCATTGGGCTCTGTGTTGACAGCTCAGAGCCTAGAGCCTACTTTGGTTTCTGTGTCTCCTTTCTGCCCCTCCCCTGCACTCTCTCTCTCTCTCTCTCTTAAAAATAAATAAACATTAAACATTTTTTTAAATTACTCTATCTGCAGACTGGAGAATAGACTAGAAGTGAGGAAAAGGGAAAAACAGATAAGATATGCCATCTTTCATCCTCAGATTGGAAAATGTAAACAATTGTTAACATCCTGGGTAGGCAAGAATTTGGAGAAGGGGCAGAAGCATAACTACTGCAAGCTTTTGGAGAAATAACTATTAAAATTAATAGTGTACGTCACATGTGCTTTGACAGGAGATACTAATAAATAAATGCACTGGTGCGAATTTATATGCACAATAATATCTATTGCAGCATTGTTTGTAGTGATTTTTAGAAGGTAAAAAAATGGAACAGCCTGAATGTCCACCAATTGAGAGAGGGCTAGGTACACCTTGGTGGCTCAGTTGGCAGAGCGTCTGACTCTTGATTTTGGCTCATATCTCACAGTTCATGAGATCAAGCCTCATGCCAGGCTCTTCACTAACAACGTGGAGCCTGCTTGGGATTCTCTCCTCTCTCTCTCTCTCTCTCTCTCTCTCTGCCCCTCCCCGTCTCCCACTCTCTGTCAAAACAAACAGACATTTTTAAAAAATAGAGAGAGGCCGAGGCATCTGGGTGGCTGAGTTGGTTAAGCCTCCAACTTCAGCTCAGGTCATGATCTTATGGTTCATGAGTTTGATCCTCGTTTCGGGCTCTGTGCTGACACCTCAGAGCCTGGAGCCTGCTTCGGATTCTGTGTCTCCCCCCTCTCTCCCTCTCGATTTCTCCCTCTCTCTCTGTCTCAAAAATAAATAAACATTAAAAAATTTAAAAGCAAAAATAAGTAGAGAGAAGGCTAATACTTTAAGAATATTATGCTATTATTAAAAATAATGAGTTAAAGCTATATATAAGAACTTGCAGAGCTATACATAATGTGTTAAGTGAAAAAAAGCAAATTGAAGGATAATATATGTGATGTGAATTTAAAACAAACTATGCTACATGACATATATGTCTTTATATGTGTTTATGTGCACACAGAGAAGTGGAAAGATTCATGGTAAATTTATCTCATTCGTTGCCTAAAAAGGTGGCATTGGAGAGAAGGGGTATCATTCATTTTTCTTTATGGATCTCTCTGCTGTTTAATTTGTTACAAAAAGCACATATTACTTTTGTGATTTTTTAATCTAGTGAGGTTTAAAGTAATAAGACAACATGTAGAGAAAACACAAATGATACCCTGATTTGACCCAAAGCAACAGACTTATCATCATAATGTAAAGGTCTTGGGCCAGGTTTTCGGGCTCCTTATAAATTCTGTCTCTGAGGAATAATATCTACAAGACTTTTTTTACTTACTAAAATGGCATCAGAAAAAGTCAGATCATGGTTCTCTATTCATCCTTAATAGGGTCCAAGTAATGTTATGAAGTATCTACCTGGTCATAAAGAATGCGGTTAGTCTTACTTAGGCTTTTCCAAAGTGCAAGTGCATTTGAAACAAGTAGGTTCTTCAGTGAGAGAAGCATTGTTTGTTTCATAATGTGAAGTGGGGAGGGGCTGTGTTCTTGTCACCTAAGAGATCAAAAGAGGAGGTTCAGACTCCCCATGGCTCTGGTCAGTTTTGACCCAGACAAAAGTTCTCTCCCACTTTAAAGTTGCCTCACATCAAGATCCAGTCTAGGTATGTTATAGTTATGTCTAGATCAAGGGACAGATATACTCAACCTCCGAGGACCCTTGGAACTACGTTTGGTTGTCCTACTCGGATCTGCCTGTGAAAGGGGAAATGGGGATTCACTAAAGACTGGGCTCAGCAGATTCAAAGATATCTCTAAGGCCAAGGTAGGCTTCCACCCCTACAAGTCAGGCAGGCCCCTCGCCAGCTGTTTGAAACACTTGAGATGAAGGGTTAGATTGACTCTTCTTCTGAAATGTTTGACATCACATTATAGATTCTGTTTCCCTAGGCTGGTGCCACAGAGGTATACATACCTGTCTGTCCCCATACCTGCAGTTTGCATCAGCTGCCATAAGGGGAAACAGGAAACGTGTTATGACCTCATGATAGAAATAAGATTTCTCACAGGGGCAGATAACTGAATCTCAAACTGATCGTGGAATCCGATGCTATTCAGTTAGTCCTGTTCTACATAGCTCAGGTATAAGCTTTCCGTATTATCATGTGCAACATCCTCCAGGGGTATGCTTAAATACAACTAAACGCTGAGACTCATTAAGACTACATGGGGGCCACACTTGGTGTCAGATTCACTTGGAAGGATATAGGTCAGGAACAACGCTTGGACCAGGGCAGAATTAGGCATTCCACCTCCCTGGGAGTCCTTGCACTAATCTGTGCAGCAGTCCATTCCAGGCACTTCTCCCAAACCCCATGGAGCCAAGTGACAGCTCAGATGCAAGGAAAGAAGACTCACATCAGAACCACGTGGCCAGCTGCCTGACTTAGAAGTTGCATACTCCCCAGGAGCCAGTACTTCTTGTAAGGACGCCACAGGTATGGCTTCCAGGGACCTTGCCAGGGGCCAGTGAAAGAGGCTTCACACTCAGGAGTCCAGAGCTGTGCTCCTCCATCCGGTGTTTATAGTTGTGCCGGTCCAGATGCAATCTACCAATCAGGTGATTGCTTTAATATCAGTTAAGGTTGCTTAATGACATAGCTGGCATTCTCTCTTTATCAGGTTTCAGAGGACCAGAAAACAAAGTTAACTGAAGGTCAAATTGTCATGCAGAGGGGTAAAATGTTCATGAATCCTTTATCCGCACCATTCCATTCTATTTTAAAGATAATTTATAGCAAGAGGGGCACGTGGGTGGCTCAGTCGCTTAAGCGTCCAACTTTGGCTCAGGTCATGATCTCACAGTTCGTGGGTTTGAGCCCCATGTTGGGCTCTGTGCTGACAGCTCAGAGCCTGGAGCCTGCTTTGGATTCTGTGTCTCCCTCTCTCTCCTCCCCTCCCCTGCTTGCACTGTGTGTGTGTGTGTGTGTCTCAAAAAATAAA